GTTAAGTATTGTGATAATATCGTATCGTGGGATGTATGGTGATTCCCACCTCTAAATATTACATGTACTTTGTATTTATTTTATTTGCTATGAACCCATGCGTATCTTTAATAAAGTGAAACTAAACTAAAAACTAATGTCTACTGTGACCATTAAATATGACTGTTTATAAACTCACTGAGCTCTAAATAAAAATGAACCGATTGGAAATGTGTGCAGTAGCAGTAAGAACTTTACATGCATTCATCATGAGCATGAACATGAAAATACATGCATACACGCCCACTAATATTTGGTTACATTTTAGTGGGCTTGCCATCAACGAGCTGTTAGCATAGCTTTAGCCACACTTCTTGGAAGAATTTGTAGCGTTCACTTAAATTAGTTGGTTTCTCGGCACAGATCTGGCTTTGGAGCAATTTTCAACATGGTTAAGGGGAGGAGCTTTGGTACTGAAAGGTAACCAGTTTAAACAATGTACATAACTGCAGATTATTTAGATGTGGGACCACTTTGCCACGATCTAGAAGAAGACCCAAGCTGTCACGTTCAGATGAGAGGAACTTGTTTAGAATATTATGAACTGGAAGACCAGTGTGACAAATTTGACATCACCACAGACTGAGAGGGATCAGACCAAGAAAGAAGTCCATGCTCCTTCACTAAAATGTGCAGCTGCCCACATGGACAGGCCAAATGCTTTCTGGGTAAAACTTTATGGTCAGATGAAACAAAGATTGAGATATTTGGTCACAATGACAAGACATATGTTGGGAAGAGTAAAGGTAAGGCTTTCTGAAGATCGTATTAGCGGTTAAGAATTGCTGTGGCAGCATCACATTCAGTTCATGCAGCAAAGCATGCAGTGGATGGAATAATGAAGACTGAGGACTACCTCCAAATTCTTCAGCTACACAGTTAAAACCTGGTCTCAGTTGGGTGTTTGAACAGAATAATGATTCCAAGCACACATCAAAACTGGTTTTGTAATGGGTAAAGTAAGCAAAGGTAACATCAGGTTACTGGAACGGCCTCCCCAAAATTCCAGCCTCAATCCTAATCAAAATGTGTGGACTTTGCTTGAAACTGGTCAAATATCCAGTCAGAATTACGGCAGTTGCTTGTTGATGGCTACCAAAAGTACCTGGTTGAGGTGGAACTTGTTGAGGAACATTTAACCATTAGTGTGGATACAAGCAAAGTTTTGACCCTGAGTGGATTAAAGTAAAACAAAATCAAACTTGTGCAACCCAATGCTTGTTTTTCAGTCATTCAAGATATATGCTGTATAATTATTCCAGTCTGGATAAAGAACAGGTCAAAGAAATCACTAGAAAAATAAACTTATCATGACATTCATGTCATTGACGAGATTTTTGGCCATAGCTGTATATCAGAGGGGCAGATCAGGCTAAGCGGTTAGAAGACAAAGTTAGAGGCAAGGTCGAGATGGTTCGGACAGGTGCCGAAGAGGCAAAGAAGGATATATTGGACAAAGGATTTCGAAGATGTAGCCTGCAGGCAGGAGGAAAAAAGGAAGACCACAGAGGAGATTCATGGATGTAGTGAAGGGGGGCATGCTGAGGGTTGGTGCTAGAAACAGGGTGAGATAGAGGATGATGATCAGCTGCGCCGACCCCTACAGGGAGCAGAGTTCTAATTAGCTAAAACAAAACAGATGTTAAACCTGAAATTAATGGAGAGAAAAAAACGCTCTTTTAAAGCCTTCAGTCTGAGTGGCTCAATAACACGTTTGCCTGAGTCTTACCTCATCTTTGTTCTGGTCTAGTTCATTGCCTGTCTGCACAGAGACCGTAACAGTGGAGGAGTTTCCAGGGCATGCGCTGCTGTCTGACAGCTTTCCATCCACGATCACGTCAACGCCTTTGGGAGCGAGGTCCCCTTCCATTTCCACCACGATGCCGTGCCTCTTGTCAGCACGGTAACGCTTGTGCATGTATTTGTAGAAGAGTAGGCGGCGGTCAGCGATCCAAGCCAAGATCACACACACCGGAAAATACAGCAGCGTCACTATGGCCTCCCACACCTGATTATGCAGGCAACATGAAAAATAATCAGTTACTCATTTGATATATTAAAAATAGAATAAAAGGTATGTGTATACCTTTTAGCTAATCAGATGTTTGGGTGAGTTTTAGAAACAAAACATCTGCGGCAAGTTTTTAAAAACTTAAATCTAAAATTACAGACTGTGGGTGTGCAAAGGGTTACCAAGTGAGGATTTACCAAACCTTGTAATACAGCTTGTAATATTTTGATGTCATGTGAGATTCAGTATTTAAGATCCCCGCATCTGTTTGAAGATTCCTGCCACTTATATTTTCCACCTTTGTTCTCCACAGCAGAATTCAGGTGTTGATTTAAATATTTGTTTTCTTGCTAATCTGTCGTCCATACACGAACACTGCAAAGTGCAACAGTGAGCCACCACTTCTGTGTCTGCAGCTCAGTCATGTGTTGCTTTGCTTTGCCCTTCTGCCATGCAGAGATGTCGTTTTTATGAGTATTATTGATCTTTCAGGTCTTCCACAGTTTCCTCTTACTGACATTTCAGGTTCTTTCAAACTAATTGATGCCTACGAAGCACATGGGCATAGGGAAGCTATAAAAAGATATTTTCAGATCTGCTGCTTAGAGCATAAGATTGTTATGATTGCCACATTTGGTAGAATTGGTATGATTATTACTTTCTGATGAAAGAAAGTAAATTTAGCAGAAAGTAAATTTGAACAAACATTTGAAAACAAATGGCACTAATGTCATACAAATAAAAGTAACAATGCATTAATATTTAAAGCTGCGGGGTGTGAATTCTCACCACTAGATGTCAGCAGACTGCAGATTGAAGTCAACTGAATCCTGTTTTCTTACCTCTCCTTACCTCGCCTCTGGAGGAGGCTGTAAAACTGTGTAAAAAGAGTCCAGTGTGAGCGTATGAGTCAATGACGCTTACTTCTGCCCGACGACAGTGATACTGCAGTGAGTTGTTGAAGATATCCTCAACTTTTCTGTCCATAAGTACTGAGGTTTTTGCCACTGCTAGCTGCTTTTAGCCAGTGTTAGTGTTTCTTTGAAGTGGATCTACCGCTGCTGACTTGGACACTTAGGGAATTCTCTTGTATTATATGAGAATGTAACCAACCCGTGTGCTTTTTGTAATAATCTAGTCTATCATTAGCTGGGGTAAATCTGGCTTATAACCAGCTGTTATTGTTGTTTAGCTGGACCGTTGTCAGCTGTACGGAGTCAGAAGCGTCGCATGTCTAATCTGCTGACAAAAGGTAACTGTGATAATATCTGGAATAAATGTGTTGGAGACTTGAATTCATTTCAGGAGATTCCACTCGCATTTAT